ATTTTCTTTGGTATGTGGTTTTTCATTATCGATTCTATCCAATGTTGGTTTATTTACATATGTAAACGCTTTACCACACATTTTGCATTTAGATGAAAGGATTAAATCGTGATAGTATTGAAAATCATCCGTTGAAACATTATTTTTAGTATCTCTTTTCGCCTTTTCATCTTGTTTCTTATATGAATCAATTTTATATTTCCAATACTTTTTTGTTAATTCAAAACTTGATTCTATCTCTTCCTCAGGATATTTTTCATTAGGATTAAAGTCTTTATATGCTAAAGCGTAACGAATCATTGAAGCATTCGATGATAAAGAAAGATTATGAAGCATGTCAATTTTATAAACAAATGTTTCTTCGATAATTTTATCAATTGGGTCAATCATAATTTCAACGTCTTTATTGCAATAATGAATAAAATATTCTAATCTATTCTCAAAATTTTTAGCATCATTGAGATATATTTGATAATCACTATCTGATATAGTTTCTTGAGTTAATGCTGAATAAAATGAATCTTTCGTGAATGGTTCCTTTTTATATAATTCATCTTCGTAATTCTCCCATGTGATGAATTGATAAGGGAAAAAGGATTTAACACGTGACTTATTGTTTCCGAAATCTTGAGTGAATTGGTCTAATGTCCCACCCGCTATATAATTTCTGATGTCAATAAATCTCAATTCATATGGAACGTTTGTTTTCTTTACAATGATTTGCTTAAATTGTGAAGATGAACCCAGCATTGATTTTATTTTCCATTTTGCAGTGTTTAAATCACGAAGAATTAAATTTAAATCAAACTTTCCCGAATTAAAACCTATGATATTCACTTTATTGAATTCCTCATCTAGAAGTTCTTTAAATGCTTCCTTCTGTTTTTCATTTAATGTTTGAGACAAAGTCCCCACCGTTTGGTCCGTTTGCGACTTCATTAATTCTTCATATTGTTCAATATTTGATTTAGCAACTCATGAACAGGTTGAAAATAAAAACTCAATCCAATCAGAAATAAAAGAATCACTCGAAGTTAAGCAAAAATTCCTCGTATATGTTTTATCATTTAATTTAACCATTGATGATACCATGAATGGTTTTAAGTAAGCGTTCAAAGTTGCACACTCAGAAAGTTGTAATTCTTCTTTAGTCTCTAATGTTTCGAAGTCAAAAGTAATATAATATCTTGTCGGTTGATAATATTCCTGCAAATTATGAGCTAATAACCACTGATATATCTTCTGTTTCGTAATATGTGGTGCATATGGTTGCTGTGTCTTTTGCAACTGAACGTCTTGAATTAATCTTCCATTATTTTCTTTACATTTCTCACAATGCTTTAAAAATCTTCTTTGGTTTTTCCTTTCTGGATCATCACGGATAGAATATACTTCTTCTTTGCAAAAGGGGCAAACTTTATATCCTGTGAGTGCTTCAACGTCTGTAATTCTGTCAGCGTGAAGTTTTCCACATGGACTCTGTGTTAATAAAATATTTACTGTTTCAAATTCTGGATCTATCATTATTGATTCCACTAATGGAAAGTCTACCTTATTTATGTCCACGTCTTCTGGTTGAGGATCACAATAATAGAAATCAATATTAACATTTAACATTCTCGCTAATCTCTCACTTTCTGATGAAATATCAAACCCTTCATATGCATCTATTGCTTCATTTAAATAGCTTCTACGAGTTTTAGGATTAGCACCATCAGGAATGTTATAGAAGCGTTTAAATAACCTTCTACCTTCTGCTCTAATTTGATTATCATTCATTTTAGCTGTTCCGTTTTTGTTCATTTATGTAAGAATAAAAAATTAAAAAATAAAGTTTATTTTTAAAGCCCATAAAATGAATTAAGAACACATAAATTTTTATCATCTGCGACGTGACGAATACATTTTAATTTACTCAAGAATGCGTACCCTGAACATTAAATCTAATTCCTGTCTTATTTAATTTCACAACTTTGAAAAGGAATGTATGAATAGCTATAAAATGATGAGAAGATGTTTTATGGGTTGCTTCCATTTTTTCTGAAATAAATGAATAAATATAATGCTTATACGTTTTCATATCTTTTATATTCTTAATAACGAATGGTATAGACCTTTCCACTTCGTCTTCCTTCGGTGCTGTTCTTTCATATGAAACATTATTGGTATCTTCAATAATAAACCACAATCACACAAAATTTTATAGGTTCCAATGGTTTCTTTTGATATTTTATCTAATAAATCAAAAACTTTATCAACACCTGTACATTTATTTAAATAATAATTGTGTAAATATCATGGTCTTCTTTCTTAATCGTATTGTTGCATATGTTACATTTTCAGTGCTTTTTTGAATTTTTCAGAATCAAGAGGAGGTGAAAGTAATATACATGGATAATCTCCATCGTCAATAAACTGAAGCTTATGTTTACGAATAAATTTAGTACCTTCTTCTGAAAGTTTTCATCTATTTCACCATCTAATAAATTTTGTGTTGATTCTGAGACATAATTTTATATCTTTCTTCATGAGATTTCTGAACTGCTGATTCTGAAGCTGGATATTCATTAAACCCTCTACTTCATTTTCATTATATTTTTCAACTTCTCTTAATTCCTTAATTTTTCATCTATTTCATCTCTTATTTTTTCCAGTCTTTCAATTTCATCATATTCATCATCTTTAATCCGTTCTTCATAATATTCAGGGAAAACATCAGGTTCTTTAGTTTTTCCCTTTTTAGATGTGGGATATAAGAAATTTATAACATCATCTTTATTCTTTTTCCATCATAATCAAACTCATTTAAAAACTCCGCGAATTTTTGACAATTTCTAAAATAATATTTATCAACCTCATAACCTGCCTCCTCTAATATATCCTTTATTTCCTCATTTGTGAATCCTAATTTTTTAACGTCGTTAGTCTTGACACTCATTTCATACAAAATAAAAATAAATTTTCATAAATGTAAGACATGAATTTTTAAAAAATTATTTTTTATTTCATTATGTTTGGGCTGAGTGTAAATGTCTTACAATTTTGAAAATTTTTTAAATCTTGATTTATTCAAAAACGTAAGAATAAAAACCGTAAGAATCATACATTTTTTACTTCATATGTTAAAAAAAATGATACAAAATCGTTCAATATTGTATGAATTCTTACGTTTACAAAAAAAGTCACACAACCCATCCATATATACTACTCAAAAATTTTCGTGTTATTTTTTGTGTTTAAGCATAAATTATGTATTTACTTATGAAGGATAAGCATTTTATTCATTGTCATAAATATGTACCATAACAAATTGATAAAATTTTAAAAAATTGTGTATTTTAGCGGGTATTATTCTGGCCAATGCCCGTTGTTACAAGATTTAATATTAACCATATCAATAGCAGACTCAATGTAAAAATTTAGATATATTTTTTTTTCATTATTCAAACTTTAATAAATTTTAGTATAATGAATGATTTTGTTTCGTGTATGATACAGAAATGAAAAGCTTAATTAATATTATTTTGCATTTTTTCAAGAATGTTAGAGTATATCTACATTAAAAAATCAGATTCGAACTGCGATACTGCATCAAATTGATGCACATCTGATAAGGATCTCAAAAGAGTAAAGTTAATTTTTTTGAGTTTTTTTAAGTTTTGGGCCTTAGTAAAAAAAAAACTTTTTGGCCTTACAGTGGACCCTTAAATTTATGATAGAAACCTATCAATTATATTATAATCTAAATCGATAGATACTTTTTATTTTTATTATTCTATAATATTGCTCCTAGACAATATCAATTTTATGGAAGAATCAACTATTTATTCTTCATTGGTATTTGATAGAAGCTTATTTTCCAAAATTTAAATCATTCATAATTTCTATCAAATCTAATATATAGCTAACCAGACATTGTTAGTAGAATGAAAATGCATCTGGTTCAAATGCACAATTTGCTTCACATGTTTAAATATCATAGTAAACATCTAGAAAATAATCACCAGAATCATGATTTTATTCAAAGGTAAGTTCAAAATATATATTGAAATTGCATTTCGATAATAGATCTGAATAAAGGGTGTATGAAACTCGCAATTTTAGACTTCTCATCATAACCATTTTATTAGTTAGTGACTATTGCTAGAGAACAAACAATATTTGTTTTGTATCTCATAGTCAAACGGAAGTCAAGCTAAGATATTTGAGATTTTATAACCCGATAGAACTCACAATATTACACTTGTATGACAAGTTAATCTGTTGGTTCAATATCGTTTTAAATTTATTTTGTCAAAATAGTTCTTTGGTTATCATTGGTAATTCGTAGTGTTACTACTGGTGTAATATTTCGAAAAAATAAAGGTATCAACTTTAATGCAAGATATGTTGAGTTGAACATCGAATAATTGGATTTTTGCAATATTAATATTCTTCAATCTCTAGTACATCATTGTTTCATACTAGTAATGTGGATCGATTCCGTTTCGATGATCAGATAAAACAATAACAATATAATCAGGTTCCACTTTTTGTAAATTGATTGTTTTTCAAAAAATTGTAAAGTTTATTAAAAAAAAATGATTTTCCTGTTTCTCTCAAGAGTTAAAGCCGAAGAAAAGGCAGGGATATTCAAGAGGTTATTTAATAATAAGTTACTGGCTATTAAAGTCAGTGGATCATCTTATCAAATAATAAATGGAACTAAGCAATTAACGAAACCGGAATATGCCGTATATCCTTGGGATAAAAACTACGATTGGTGTTCAAACTGTGCTCGCTCTTATAGTCGCATGCCTTTCATCACTTTTTACACAAATTCAAAAAGAATACAATTTAATTCATACTTTATCAAAGCTGGTTGTTGCTACGAGAGAGGGTGTTGTTGTGAAGATGGCTATTACACTTGCATCGACTGCTGTTTATATTCTTGGTCACTTCAGATTTCAGATGATAACAAGACTTGGACAACTGTTCACAAAGTTAGTAAAGATACTGAAATGTGCCGTTGCTCAGCAAAAACATACAATCTTGACAAAGAATATAATGCAAAATACGTCCGCCTTATCCAAGATGGAGCTTTACCTGGTTACCCACCATGTTTTGCGATCAATAAGATCGAACTGTTTGGTAGTAGTGTCCAATTCGGTGAAGATTTAAATGATGACTTAGTTTCTTTCCATGATGACGATGAGGACGTCAGCATCATTGGCCACATTTCTAAGAGTAACAAGATTTAATTCAAATATATTTTGTTTTGCTCTAAAATTTCAGATTTGTAAAATTTCTCCAAACTAAATGAGTGGGGGACAAACTCGCCCATTGTCACTTTTCATTAACCTTAAACTTGTAATTTTCATTATTTTTAATTAACCTTATTTCTTTCCCAATTCCTGATTTATTTTATTCACTTACTATTAAAAGTCACATTTTAATAAAATATAATAATTTATTTATAGCATTTTTTACTATACTGTAATAAAAAATTAATTATAATAAATTAAATGTTTATTAAATCAAATGTTTTCTTTGCAATAATATTTTTAATGTTGAGTAAACAATGTTGGGATCAAGTGTATCATTTTTCAGACCTTTCTGAACAGCTTCAAGCATACTGATGCATTCGACTTTTTTAAATTGTGTCATTTCTTCGAAATCTCTTGTGACTTTTTTGATAACTTTAACACTTCTCTCTGAATCCAGACCTTTAATTTGCAACTTAATCAGGAATGAAGGAACAACACTGGAATATAACTCGATGACAAGTTCATCGAGTCGAAGATTTGGTTGTACACCACTTGTATGTGCCGGATACCATTGTGTCAATTTTTTTCTGAAATTAACTTTAAAAGTACTAAGTAAGATCATGAGATATAGCAATATATGTTTAAACCAACTTATATTTTGGTTGTACACCACTTGTATGTGCCGGATACCATTGTGTCAATTTTTTTCTGAAATTAACTTTAAAAGTACTAAGTAAGATCATGAGATATAGCAATATATGTTTAAACCAACTTATATTTTGGTTGTACACCACTTGTATGTGCCGGATACCATTGTGTCAATTTTTTCTGAAATTAACTTTAAAAGTACTAAGTAAGATCATGAGATATAGCAATATATTTAAACCAACTTATATTTTGGTTGTACACCACTTGTATGTGCCGGATACCATTGTGTCAATTTTTTTCTGAAATTAACTTTAAAAAGTACTAAGTAAGATCATGAGATATAGCAATATATGTTTAAACCAACTTATATTTTGGTTGTACACCACTTGTATGTGCCGGATACCATTGTGTCAATTTTTTTCTGAAATTAACTTTAAAAGTACTAAGTAAGATCATGAGATATAGCATATATGTTTAAACCAACTTATATTTTGGTTGTACACCACTTGTATGTGCCGGATACCATTGTTCAATTTTTTTCTGAAATTAACTTTAAAAGTACTAAGTAAGATCATGAGATATAGCAATATATGTTTAAACCAACTTATATTTTGGTTGTACACCACTTGATTGCCGGATACCATTGTGTCAATTTTTTTCTGAAATTAACTTTAAAAGTACTAAGTAAGATCATGAGATATAGCAATATATGTTTAAACCAACTTATATTTTGGTTGTACACCACTTGTATGTGCCGGATACCATTGTGTCAATTTTTTCTGAAATTAACTTTAAAAGTACTAAGTAAGATCATGAGATATAGCAATATATGTTTAAACCAACTTATATTTTGGTTGTACACCACTTGTATGTGCCGGATACCATTGTGTCAATTTTTTCTGAAATTAACTTTAAAAGTACTAAGTAAGATCATGAGAATAGCAATATATGTTTAAACCAACTTATATTTTGGTTGTACACCACTTGTATGTGCCGGATACCATTGTGTCAATTTTTTTCTGAAATTAACTTTAAAAGTACTAAGTAAGATCATGAGATATAGCAATATATGTTTAAACCAACTTATATTTTGGTTGTACACCACTTGTATGTGCCGGATACCATTGTGTCAATTTTTTCTGAAATTAACTTTAAAAGTACTAAGTAAGATCATGAGATATAGCAATATATGTTTAAACCAACTTATATTTTGGTTGTACACCACTTGTATGTGCCGGATACCATTGTGTCAATTTTTTTCTGAAATTAACTTTAAAAGTACTAAGTAAGATCATGAGATATAGCAATATATGTTTAAACCAACTTATATTTTGGTTGTACACCACTTGTATGTGCCGGATACCATTGTGTCAATTTTTTTCTGAAATTAACTTTAAAAGTACTAAGTAAGATCATTTATTTTTGCATAATATAATGCCAATATGGTTTCTTTTGATTTTATTTCATTTATAAGCAAATTAGATTTACCCAAAAACTCCACTCCATAAGCGTTCATTTGCTAAATTAAAAAGTGACAATGGGCTAGTCTGTCCCTTTCTCCCAAACTAAATTTTAGGGTCGGGTAAGAATTTTCTCCAAATGGGATTCTTAATCACCATTGTAAATCGATAGTAAAAATTTGATTTTTTTTACAATTTTTTTATGATTGTTGAGAAATTTCAACTTTAAATAAGTTTTATTATACAGGAAAAGTTCACAACGTAACATTATCGACAGGAGTATATATACTAAGAGTATGGGGTTCTCAAGGAGGAGTTATTTCTGATGTAACCTCTGGTCTTGGTTCTTATACTGAAGGGTTTATCAAATTACCTCGATATACAAAGCTTAACATTTACGTAGGCCAACAAGGCCAATGTAGTACATCTCCTTTAACAGACATTTTTTATAACGGAGGTGAAAATTCTATAGGCACTAAAAACGAAAACTCATGTACAGGAGGTGGCGCAACATTCATAACTTTTGATGGCAATGTCAGTGATGTCATAATTATTTCTGGTGCTGGAGGAGGCGCAAAAGTAGGATATAACGGTGGCTACGGAGGGAAAATTGCAGGAAATGGTGCTGGACATAGTAATTGTTTTGGTAGAGGCGCTAGTGTTTCGTCACCAGGTATAGGAGGCAAGTATCCAGGCGCAGGTAGCTATTCTTTTTGTAATGCTGAGAATGGCACTTTTTTGAATGGTGTTATGGTGTGTTATGGGATGTGGAGGAGGGAGTGGATATTTTGGCGGTGGTGGAGGTGGAGATAAAGGAGCTGGTGGAGGAGGAAGTAGCTTTGCAAGTCCTATCCTAAAAAACGTAATTTATAAAAACGGAAATGAGGATTTTATTCAACCAGATGGAACGACCAAGAGAGGTCACTCAGGAGATGGATTTGTTTCTATAGAAACTATATTCTCTTTCACTATTAAGTGTAATTGCGATTATTATAATATTATCTCTTTAATCAATGCGTTTAGTTTGATTTTTATCTCTAGTGAGTAAAAAAAAATTCTTCGAATTGATCTGAAATACTTTACAAAAAGTGACGTTTTTTCAAATGCTTTTTTCTCTTTTCCTATCCAAATCCTACAGTGAAATGGGCAAGGGTATCTTTAGTACATACTTCAATCAAAAGATTGTTGATGTTACTGCTAGTGGATCATCAAAACAGCGGATTAATGGTACAAAGCAGATGACAAAGCCTGAATACGCCATCTACCCTTGGGATAAGAAATATGACTGGTGCTCAAATTGTGGCCGTACTTATGAAGAGCATCCATATATTATTTTCTCATTAAATTCAAGAAAAATCAAGTTCAACGGCTATTTAATTCGCGCTGGATGCTGCTACGAAAGCGGCTGTTGCTGTGAAGAAGAGTACTATGGATACTGCATTGACTGCTGCCTCTATTCATGGTCTCTCCAGATTTCAGAAGATAACGAGACATGGACAACAGTCCACCAAGTCAGCAAAGACCGTGACATGCGTCGCTGCAAGGAGAAAACATACACACTCGAAAAAGAATACAGCGCCAAGTACGTCCGTCTTATCCAAGATGAAGCCTGCCCCGGATACCCTCCGTGCATCGCCATCAACAAGATGGAACTGTTTGGCAACAGTATTCAATTCGAAGAAAATCCAGACGCTGATTTCGTTTCATTCCACGATGACGACGAAGATGTCAGCATCATAGGCCACATTTCTAGAAACAGCCACAACTAATTCATTTTAAAAATGTTATTTTACTTATATCTGAAATTAATTTTTTTTAAAAATTAAAATCTTATAAATCACTTTTTGGTGTTTACTTCTAGACTGAGAACTGTAAATATTTCTTGTCGATCTAGAATAACTTAAGATATTTAGAAAAGGAAAATTTTTATCTATTAAAATTAGTATATTTAGAGTAATTTCGGAAAGTTTTCACTTTCTTTCATTCTTCGTTCCTTTATTTTGGCATATATCACGTAAGCCAATAAAATGGAAACGAAAATCAATGGAATTCCAACAACTATGATGAAGAAGCCAGCTCTCTTAGATGCCTTGAATAACGGTGATTTGTAGCCATACCAAACGTATCTTCCATTGAATTGAACTTCACATTGACTGAGATAATTCTTCCATGAATTTTCTGAAGGCAAAATAATTTGAAAATTGCTAAAATCAGCAAATTTTCCAAACTTTTCAGGAAGTTTTTCGCCAAAATACAATTTTTGTAGTGAATTGCACTTATAGAAGGTATCAAGTGAATTACCATTTACTATCTTTAGTGTTGTGAGATTTAATTCCTTCAAACTTGAGCAGCCATAAAAAGTATCTTCTGAATTAATTTCTCTGATCTTTGGAATGAAGATCGATGCCAATTTTGAACAGTCATTAAACACTGCTTTACTTAATACCTCACACGATGGGAGTTTAATTGTTTCTAATGAAGAACAGGCAGAAAATGCATATTGACCAATACTCTGAACATTTTGAAGTTCTATTGATTTCAATTTCTTGCAGCCAGAAAAAGAAAGGATATTAATTGTTATACAATTAGTAAACACAGCAGTTTCTAAGTTTTCGCAATCAGTGAAAGCAGCAGACATATATTTAAGTTTTGGTAATTCAATTGATACAATACTGGTGCATCTGAGGAAAGATTCAACTAATTCTTCGCAGTTTGGTAAAGATATATGTTTAAGATTGTCAATTTTATGAGAATAAATTTAAAATCTCATGAAATATAAAGGAGAGTAATATTTTTCAATTTTCTTTTTTTCTTTGTCTCAAATATTTTCTGTTGGGAATTTTCTTGTTATCAAAAAATAATTTTAATATTTGTTTATTTCATTACATACAAAAAAAAAAAAAAAGGTAGTGGGGCTTCCAGGCACTTCGTGCCTTCTAGCCCTGAAGATGATTAGTATAAATGAAGTTTATATTCGGAGGGCTTCCAGGCGCGTTGCGCCCTCTAGCCCTGAAGATGTTTAGTATAAATGAAGTTCTTATATACGGGTCTTCCAGGAGCTTTTCACAAATTATATATGTTTTCATGTTTTGTCACTTTTCTGTCACTTTTCGGGTAAAAACATTTTTATTATTATATATAAATGAATTTTACAAAACCACCGTTACCGTTCTTTGGAAATAAGAGTAGATGTAAAGATATTATATTGAGAGAACTTAAGAAACTACCGAATGGTCTAACATTTGTAGATTTGTTCGGTGGAAGTTTCTATATATCCCATTTGTGCCATATAAGATTCCCAGACTCAAAGATTATATGCAATGACTTCGACAACTATATGGACCGTCTCAAACATATTCCAGACACAAACAATATATTGAAAGAGTTAAAAGAAAAGATACCTATAGGTAAGATGGAACGTATACCATTAGATAAGAAAAATATTGTGAGAGAGGTTTTGAAAAAAGCAGAATATATAGACTGGGATAGTATATCTGCTAGACTATTATATAGTGGTTCTATAAGAGTTCATGACATTGAAACACTTATGTCAAAAGTTTTATATCTTAACTATACAAATGTTTTCAAAGAGGACATAGAAAAATATATTGAGGGTATAGAGTTTGTGAGATGTCATTGGACAGAGTTGTATGAAAAATATAAAGACAAGGAAAATGTTTTCTTTATAGTGGACCCGCCGTTCTATAACACATGGGATTTTCAATACCAAGTAGACTGGACTTTGAGAGACTCTTTAGAAACTTTAGACGTTTTACATAACCATCCATGCTTTTACTTTACATCCGATAAAAGTGGTTTGGAAACCGTTATGAGATGGTTAGAGGACATACATGACTATGAGTTTAGATATGACAAGATAGAATATGAGAGAGGTCCTATAAACCGGAGAAAGTGTCACAATAAAGAAATTTTATTAGTAAGTAAATGTGGTTTGAAATAGGACTACTTGTTTTAGGTTTTTTCCATTGTGTCATTTATTTATTTGACGTGGCAGAAAAGTACAGAGAATATGAAGATGAACCAATGCCTGCAAATGTTCAGTATATGTACTCGTAAGAGATATTTTTATCTAATATTAAATGGACGCACAGAACTTAGCGAATGCACAGCAACCTGGACAACCAAACCCAGAGAATATTCCAAATGAAGTTAGAATACAAACTGCAATGGCAAACTATGGTCAAGTGCCAACAGATGTACAAATGCAAACTGCCATGTCAAATGACGCTGCGTTAGGTTTGCCACCATGGTATGCAAATATGAGATGGAAAGAGTTTTATACAAACCCTGAAGTGGGATATAAACAACTTTATGCAGATGACGCGAACACAGGAGTTGACCCAGAATATGTTTTCTACCAGAGGAGAAACAGAATGTATGAGCTCCAGTTAAAGAATGCTATGGAACTCAACAGGAAACGTAAGAGACTAGGCGGACATTAGATTTTACATATAGTAAAATGGGTTTCTTCAGTAGTATTGGAAACTTCTTTCGAAATGTTGGAAGAGGTATATGGAATGGAATAAAATCTGTCGGAAAAGGAATTTGGAACGGTGTCAAAAATATTGGTAAAAGAGTAGGTCAGTTTGTTGGTATTATACCTAAAGACCCTGAACCAGAAGAACAAGCTCCTGTTATACAACAGCCTGAACCTGCACCACAGTCAAGTTGGCAACCAAATCCAACACCTCAACCGTATTAAAAAATTATATTTTTATCGTTCGATAGTAGTTGTATATGAAACTAAGTTCTAAGTAAAACGCATGGTATAATGGAATTATTCTTTTTCTTCCATCTGTAGTAAACCATACTTGAAAGTCTGAAATACTTCCACTCGGCGGCTCATATAACTTTGTAGGTTTTTCGTAAAAGTCATTTGCCAAGCATAAGAAAGAGTTTTGGGCGCCAGAAAATGAAGCATGAACTATCACAGCATCTTGGTCGAAAACATCTTTAAATAAATATGGTTCATCTCTTGCATATCGACTGTAGATATTTGCTAAAGGAGGTTCAACTTTCTGATTTAACATTCTTTGCAAATAATACCATGACATTGCAGTGAATTCTGTATATATTTGTTCGTCTTTATTTGGATTGTTTTCGTAGATTTGAAATGACACTTGTGAATTTTGTTTGTCATATACAATTCTCACATAAAGTGTGCTATCGGTATTCGCATATTCATCAGCATATTTTGCATAACATGAATTTATTTTATCTTCTATATTTTTAATGCAGCCTGTAGAGAAGATGAGAGGTCAACTTGTATTAGCTCAATTTCTTCCCACATTTTTCGTTTCCCTTCAGATATATAATCTATATGAAACCTTACAATAAATGGAAAACCTGTTTGAACTTGTGAGACAAACTTCATTCTACGAAAGCCAATAGCTTTTGTGACGGATGGGTCTCTTAGCCATCTCAATGGGTAGTCAAAACGATAGCCTTCATGCTTTACGGTCTCTGTCTCAAACTTTTGACCGACATTAGTAAAAAGTTCATCTAATGGTTTAGTTGTAGCAACTCTTGAATTTTCTTTTTCTATTGGAAGCATATTTTATCTAGAATAAAAATGTCGAAAGATATTGCTTCCATGAGAGAAATACAACACAACCGACAACTCATTATGCAAGCTCTAAATAAGAACACAACAAACTTTTCAAACTATTCTAAGATATCTGAGTCATTGAAAGAAGGAAACTTAAAACTGACATTAAACCCAATGACAGATGAGTTTCTGTTTCAAGACAATAAGAACCATACTGTCTGTATAAATCCAACAAAAGGAACTTTAAACGAGAAACCTATAAATGAACTTCTTTTGAAAGCAGATGTTGACAACAAAGCTGACAAAGAATATGTAGACGATGCAATAGCAAAAGAAGAAGAAAGAGCTGAAAACGAATATTCTAAAAAGACTCATATACACTCTATATCTGATATTACAAACTTACAAGAAACCTTAAACAGGAAAAGTGACGTTGGACATACACATACCATTGCAAATATTACAAACTTACAAGAAACATTAGAGACAAAAGCAAATAAGACTCATACACATTCTATATCTGATATTACAAACTTACAAGAAACATTAGAGACAAAAGCAAATAAGACTCATACACATTCTATATCTGATATTACAAACTTACAAGAAACCTTAAACAGTAAAAGTGACGTTGGACATACACATACCATTGCAAATATTACAAACTTACAAGAAACATTAGAGACAAAAGCAGATAAAACATATGTCAATGAAATATACCAAAGTTTAGTTGGAACAAAAAATATTGAAACTATTGTTGGTGACTTTTCTGTCAATGAAGAAAATAAATATTTTAGATGGCAGTTTGTACATTCCTTAAAAAATGGTATACGGTATAAACTCATTCCGAAAAATAACAATGAAATGTATGTAAGCTATATAAAGAATAATGGTACACAAGTTAAAGTTCCATTAGACAACAACTGCTACTTAAACTTATATGGAGACGAACAAAAGAAATATTTCCGAGTTTATGAAATGGCAGATATGACATTGCCTGACCCATCTCCAGTACCACATTATTATGACTATGGTGTTGACGTCAGAACACCACATGTAGATGAACAAAAGCTAACATTATATTTAGATTATTATAGATATAAAAGATATAATGCAATAGAAAAAACGAGAATAGTATATTATTATACAGATGACAGAAATAAATATTATAGTCAAGATTTTACCTACCCTGAAAACATAAGATTATATTATAAAAAATATTCCGACATGAACCAGAAGAAACCTGAAATAGTTGCACTATATTTTAAGTTCAAAAGAGACAATCCTATAATATCTCATATGTTTGATTTAATGAACCCAGTAGGTTCTATTTATACATCTATGGAAGCAAGAGGTCCTCAAGTAATGTTTGGTGTTGGTGCATGGGAACAAATAGTCGACCGGTTTTTGTATTGTGCAAACTCTTCAAAGGAAACAGGTGGAAGTAAAACGATTACAGGTGAAAATTTACCTGCACACAGTCACTACATAGATTTAAGTACATCTCAAGCGGGTTGGCATAAGCATAGATATTGGGATTGGTCAGGAATGACAAAAGGTAAAGGATATGATGTTAAAGACGACGTTAAGTTTGCTATAAATTGTTACTGGAGTGACACTCAGGGAGAAGGAAACCATACACATTTCGTTTCGGGATATACACAAACAACGGGACAAGGTAAAGAATACATGCCACCTTACATGACAGTTTACGCATGGTATAGAATTGCTTAGTCGTCATTTTCAACTTCTTTAGCATATTCGTCAGGAGTTGTCTTATATTTGTTAGGAACTGTCTTTGAAAGTATACCACCTTGAACTTTGACAAGTTTGAAACGAGGTCTGACAATAGTAGTTTTATCTTCTGCTTGCAGTCTGTACATTTTGCCATGTTTGCCTAAAACTTCATAATATTCTCTTGTATACTTTCTTCTATTTTTACGAACACGAACGTGAGTACCTGTCGGGTTCCCATTGTTGTCATAGTCAATAGTATTTTCATATGGGTCGCGTTTAGGTATTTCTATTTTTACTTTGTCACCTTTCTGAAGTTTGAAGCCCGGCATTCTTTCTTGTTTGTCTCTTTTGACTAAATTATTAAATATATAGTCTTTCTCTAAGTCAGGGTTGTTTTTCATTTCTTCGGGGAGTGGTTTCCCAAACCTTTTTGTTTACGGTTATTGTAAATATTTAAAACTTGTCTCATCTTTGCCTGGGAGAAGTGTCTATACTTGTCGTCATATGACATTTCATTTGCTTCACCACCTTGTGGTTGGTTTAAGTCTCTTTAATATTTATACAACCGTCAATGACACCAAGAGCAGAATGGTTTTGGTCGACAATGAAATATTGGTTTACATTTTTTGAACGCAGATAGTTTTTAATATCGTCTGATTTGAAAGAACTTTCACAGTCAGATGTCAGTTTTGTTGGATGGTATTTGTCAACGAATATTGTCAAAGCAGTTTTTACATCTAAAATATTTTTGGACCATAATGGTATGGCTTCACAGTATCTTGTGTTTTGACCAACAAATATTAGCCAGTATGGAGGTCCATCTTCTCTATACCTCGGAATGTTTTCCAAGATATCCATAAACCAAGCATTTGGTGTTGAACTAAAGATTTTTATCATGAGTGCTTTCTTTGTCGCTTTAGAAACATAGGGGTCCTTGTTTGGATTCGTCATTTTTACCCTGTAAGAAATGGGTTTATTTGGCGCATTAGCAGGAGTCGCATCCAGATTTTTGCCCGCAGTGGGAACAATAGCCAGAGGTGCATTTGGAATTGGAAAGAAGATTTTGAGTACATTAGGTATACTTAAAGAGAAAGCACAACCTATTATACAAACTGTACAGAAAGGTTGGGAGGTAGCACGAGATGCAACAAATCTTATTCCAAATCCTGAAACAAGAGGAAAAGTTCAAGGATGGATGGACAATGTAGGAAGACAAGCAGGAAACTATTATAACAAAGCAAATGACTACTATAACCAAGCAGGACACTATATGGACCAAGGTGAAAGATTCTTTAACAGAGGATATAACCATGCACAACAATGGGTAAACAATAACCAACCTCAACCGCCTCAAACTTGGGGAATGTAAAATTTTTTACTGAGATGAAATGAACAATACAGCATTGAGACAAATGGGTTCAAGATGGATTTGTCGACTTCCAGCAGTTACACCACCACGTGTTTGTCAAGTTCTTCCTATACCTCAGGAAGTTTTAGACCGACTTAAAAAACCTAAACAACCAGTTGAAAACAAACCAAACTAAAATTTTTTACTGAGATGAAATGACCGAAGAAGTTGAAACGGTAGATTTGACACCACAAACAAAAAGTTCAGAACCATTGTCAAAACCTGTCAAAGAACTTACAGATGAAGAGAAAAATTCAATAATAGAAGGTGCCAGGTCTGGAAATACAAACCCCAACTATAAAGTCACTTTTCATAGAAATGGAACGGCTAGTATCTCAAAAAAGAAACAGACTCTCACAAATAAAATATTGAAGTCTGAAGGAGTTTTCGAGACAACAGATGGAAAAGTTTACTTCACTGACCAACAGTTCATTATAGAACATCTCATTGACTTAGAGTCGAAATATTCTAAACTTTACAACAAACACAAAAAGTTGAAAGGAAAACAAAAACAAATGGCATATGATATTTATGAAGATGTTGACGACACAACTGTTCCTGCAAGTGAAGTAAAGTCAGAGGAACCGAAAAGTGACGAAAAACCGATAGAAGAAGAAAAACCAAAAACTGAGGGTAAACCAAAACCAAAGTTTAGTTTGGAAACTAAACCAACTCAACCTTCATTAGCTGGTATGGGTTGGCGTCAAAGACTTCTGGTAGCAGGAGGTTATGTAAAGTAAAGAAAAAATATATTTTTTTATTTTTATAAAAATGCCCCCATATAGAATGGATAGAAAGTCTGCTAGAATAAAAACAGAGTTACAAAGATATGGTTGGAGAGTTTCGAAGAAGTTTAAATATAGGAAGGGAAGACCCATAAAAGTCTATGACAAATTGTCTGGTCTTCGCTACGAAATGGATTTGGAAACAGCACGTGCCAATTATCCAAACAGACTAGAGAGGTTAGAAGAAGAACGTCTTATGAACATGCCTTTCGATGTTAGTGAACCTCAAGTTGAAGGACACGACGGCTTTGCCAGATTCTACTGGAAACATGACGAACAATTGCATCCTTTGAGAAGGAAAAAAGGAAAAGGTGAAGACGCACATGCTCCCATGGAAAGAACAAGATATGCATATGAAAAGTATCGTGAAGTTAGAAGTCAAATTACATCTGGTCGAACCTTTACAGTAAACTTTGACGAAGGAAAGAACAAAGAAGGCTTCATGGGAGTACTTGCTGCAATTCAAGACGGAAATATGAAAGGACACAATCTCAGATTGACCATAACAGATTTGGATGGCCACATTTACTATGCACATGGCAATGAACAAACAGCCGCAAAACTTCTTGACGCTTTCAAGACTACAAAGAGAGAACAAATGGTTGACTCTGACTCAGACATTTTGAATGCAATTGAAGGAATTGCAAGTGTAAAGTTCGAATGGTACCAACCTAACCCTCAAGCAGTCAGACAACATGCTGGATACTTCCCCTTCATAAATAAGTCTGACATTGACTTGACAAGGTATGGAATTTACAATTCAATTGAAACAATTGTCAACGAACCTTGTATTCTTACATGTCTCAGGAACTCTGGTCTTGTTACAGATGAGAAGATGAAGTATCTTGAGTCATGTGTGAAGACAAGGTACATTCTCAGAGGTCAATTGGCAAAAATTGCACCGTTGGCAAATGTCAATATCCGAGTCAACATACCTACAGCTAAAGGTTCTTCACATGACGACTATGTTGTTGAGTTCAATTTACCATGGTTGAAGATTGTAATTGTCCACAACCACTTCATGTTGAACGAAAGTCTTACAAACCATTGTTCGGAAAAGGCAAGTGCAACATTGTCAGAGCTGTAAACATTCTTTTCGAGAAAGGTTTGTTGGAACCAATTCCAGATGACAAGCTGACAGAAACTTTTGTACCAAAAGACGAAACAAATTTTCATTGTTAGCAAGACCAAAAGTTGTTCCAGACAAGTTCTAGTAAACAAAGAAGTACACAATTCCACAAGGAGTTGGATTGTTCGGATACCAACCTGAACCAGAAGAACTTCCAATGAGGTTGCAAGAACTTCAAGATGCTATAAACAAACTTCCATTGAGACATCCAATTGACGTCAAATTGTATTGGAGAGCATCTGAGTTAGGTCAGAAGGTTTTATATGAAACAGGTGCTTCGACGATGTTTATGAGATAACAGGAGAAGTTTCTCAGAAGATAAGAGACTCACTTGAATTTCCACAAACTGGACCAATTGGTTGCGACAAGTTCGACTCAGATGAAAAGATATACTATGTCGACCTTAACGCTGCGTACATGAGGTTTGTCCAATATATTCCGACTGGAATTCCAAACGAAGATGGTGAGTTCCCGGGAAGGAACTATACAGTTGGAAAAGTCATACAACAACTGTATGATATTAGGAAAGCTTCAACCCCAAACTTGCAATGACACTCAAATTGCTTATGAATTCGACATGGGGATATTCCATTAAGAAACCTCAAGAGATGAAGAGTAAACATTATGAGAAGGTCGACAACTTTGTTGAAAGGTTTTCTCCTTTTGTTTTGAAGTACGAATTCACTCAAGGTCAAAGTGGCTTAGTAACCACATTAAAACCTATTGTCGAACATTGGTCTTACCCTCAGTTCGCAAAGGCAGTCCTTGACAACTACAACAAATTCTTCTCCGAAGTCAAATCCAAAGTGAAGGTTTACTATGAGAACATTGACGCACTCATGACGAACGAAGAAGGGTACAACAAACTCATTGAAATGGGAATGGTCGGTGAAAAGATGGGTCAATTCAAATTGGACAAAATTTTCACCGAAGTTCATGTATTATCGAAAAGGAAATATTGGGGTATACTTGAAGACGGCACAGAAATAAAACATTGCATGAAATAAAAAATTGCATGAAGTAAAAACGTTTTTAAAACAGTATATTTTTACATATATTAAATGCTTCAGGTTGAAAAACAAAGAACAAAAGTAGCAGATACAAAACCGTTAGACTATATCTTTACAAATGCTGGTAGGAATATTTCAGATGAAGAAATTTCATCCCGAGCTTACAGGTTTGACTATCCAATTCGTTGGCTTCAAAGTCCTTCAGATGCAAAGGCAATAGGATTTAGAAGAGTTTTGTTTTCAAATAGAACTAACGCATTTATGTTCGCAGTATATTTTCATGGGCAGTATAAAGGTTCTGATGGTCTAATAGACAAATTTGACGAAATGAGAATCTTTACAGTTCGTTCAGACGAAAGTCTTGAGAAAACTCTAAATGACTTTCAAACTCAAATGAACAAATATTATTGGGAATTTCAAAAAAAATACGACTCTTTACTAAATGGAACATACTATCTGAAACTAGAATATGACAAGATGAACTCCACCGTTTCATTTCAAAAGATTGAAATTAACCCTCCAAGAGATACAGAGTTTTTATATTGGGAAGTAGACAAACGTTCTTGGGCACAATTTCTTCGGTTACTAAACCAGAACGAACCATTACCACCAGATGGTCCATTTAAATTTATACTTCCACCAGCAGATTTGATGGTTTATAGAAACGTGTTTGACCCTCAAAATGTTATGTGTCATGCAAGTTTCAGTTCAAGCAACAATAGTTTTCTATGTATTGGTAAGGACTTTTATGACTTTGCTTCTAAATTCTACGAACCATCTAGTAACAGTTTCTCTGACTTTCAAGTTTGGTTCACAACAAATGGTGTGCAACATATTATTCCATTGTACTATGACTTTTATCTCGAATTGTCTTTCATATATAACTACGGAAAAGTGCTGAAAAAGTATTGAAAAATATAATTTAGGTGAAGAGGTGAGATCTCACACGTTTTTTCACCTGTTTTCTCACCCTCTTGAATTTTCATGAATTTTTCAGCAAAAATATATTTTAGGTGAAGAGGTGAGATCTAACCTCATTTCTAACCTCTTGAATTTTCATGAATTTCCTTAAGACAGAAAAAATAAAGTTAGTTTTTTTAAAAAAATATTTTTTATTTTTATTGTAAGAACATGTTAGCAACAACTTCACCAAACTCGTTAGTTATGAATCCAACTTCAATGTTAGTAGAGATGAAAAGCTTCATTCCTTCTTCACATACTTTCGAAACAAAAATCCAGAAGATAAAGCAAGAACTTTTAACAAGTAATTTAGATTGCACTGCGAAAGATGAAACAAATGAACAGTATCTTTATGAAATGCAGGACATTATTGACCATTTGCCTAAACTACCTGAAATACAACAACAAAAACTCACTATTCCTGAATTCGATGAAATAGAAGTCAGACTGACTGACTCAGTAGAAATAAAGAAGTTCATACGAAAGGTTAACTATGAGTTTCTTGGATTTCATTGCAACCACAAAGTCATGGACAAAGATTGCGACATGTTATATAAGAATGTTTCTGACATATATAAATCTGAAGAATTTAAGACCTACGACAACTTTGTTTCATTAGCTGCAAAATGTGTTTGGGAAATAAGAGATAAAGATAGAAGAGGTAAGGTATGGAATGAACAGATAAAACCAGCAGCTTTTGAGTTAAAGAAAACCATTGACGCTATAGTTGTACTTGCAGGACAAATTTCAATGTACAATGCTAAAATGAACCCACAATGTTCTAAATGTAAAGCAGCAATAAGGAAATATAACTATTCTGTCAAAGAGATAGAACGTATGCGAAACGACTATGCAGACTTAAAGAAAGAAGCAGAAAAGCCAGCAGAAAATAAAATGGACATGTTAGAATTTCTGAACAAAAACTATCCAACAGCAGAAGATTTCCTTCTATCTGACGTCAAGAAGAAGTATAAAGAAACTTTCGGCATTGTTAAAACTTTTGACATACTGACAGAAGAAATAGAAGCTACGAAATTGTTTAGAATTTCAAATATACATCGTACAATTCATGTAAAACGCTTGTGAAAAAAAGAGGTGAAAAATTAGGTGAAAAAAGAGGTGAAATCTCACCTCTTCACCTAAAATATATTTTTGTCTGATTTACGCTCATTACGAAGAAGTTTTGACAAAACATGTACGAAGAAGTCTTGACAAAACATTTACGATGAAATCATGACAAAACATGTACGAAGAAGTCTTGACAAAACATGTACGATGAAATCATGAAAATTCATGAGGTGAGAAAAGAGGTGAGAAAACAGGTGAGATCTCACCTCTTCACCTAAACATTATTTTTATTGAATTCAGCAACAAAATTCTGAGTAAAATGGCATATGCTTGCTTCCCTCGGAAAACCGAGAGAAGAGATTCCGTATGAAAATCATGAATTTCCTTAAGATAGAAAAAATAAAGTTAGTTTTATTTTTATTTATTTTTTTATTTTGTATGTAAGAACAGAAAATGTTAAAGGTTGAGTTTGAAACAGTTAGAAAGATAGACAATGACACCAAAGTGGTTAGAATAGGTGATTTAAACGTAAGATACTCAAAGAAATACAACAAATATTCTTTGTCAGACATTATATCTCCATCTGGAAAGAAAACAAACGACTGGGTTAGAAATGCTTCTACTCAGAAAATTTTGACAAGAAATCCTGAGCTTATGATATCGGTAAAATTCTATGGAACTGCAGCATATCTTATAGACAAAAGTCTTATACCAATAGTTTTGTTATGGTTAGACCCAGTTGTTGGATATAACTTCATAACATATGGTTCATTCGATACGGAACGTTGCAGTGAAGGCTTACTTTACATCGTTCAGAAACCGAAGGACTTCAATACAAAGAGATATAAGATAGGAAGAACATTTAATATAACTAAAAGATATGACAGTACAGTCAATAGAGTTAAGGTTGTGTTTGTAAATGATATGAGAGCTGCAGAAACAGAACTACTTGAAAAGTTTGAGAAATGTATGGTGCTCCCATGAAAGGTAAAGAAACTTTCGAAGTAGATGAGATAGATAAAGCTATAAAATTATTTGACGAAGTTGCTGAAAAATACATGTAAAGCGTTTATTTTTGGTCTTTTGTGAAAGTCAGAAAATAACGTTTACCATGTAAAACGCTTGTGAAAAAGAGGTGAAAAAAGAGGTGAAAAAACAGGTGAGATCTCACCTCTTCACCTAAAATATATTTTTACTGAATTCAGCACAAATTTCATGAATTTCCTCATATGCTTGCTTCCCTCGGAAAAACCGAAAGAAGAGATTCCGTATGAAAACAGTGAAGAACAGCGAGTAGGTAAAAAAACTCAGTCGCCTAAAACTCATGAAAACAGTGAAAAATTGCGAGTAAGTAAAAAATCTTACTCGCCAAAACTCATGAAAACAGTGAAATTTCTCTAGACAGATTTTTTTCGGTCTTGCATAAAACTCTATGAAAATCGTGAAGAACAGCGACTACGAGAAAAATCTTACTCGCCTAAAACTCATGAAAACAGTGAAGAACAGCGAGCAGGTAAAAAACCGCAGTCGCCAAAACTCTATGAAAATCGTGAAAATTTGCCAAATGGTTTGAGAGGTTGGTATGTACATAGACTTCTTGTAAATGCTGTTGCAATGTGGGCTTCACCTCGTTATGCTTGGTATATTTACAAACTTCTTGACGAAATTCATAGACAAGAACGTGAAGAGATGGAAAACAAGCTTGAAGCAAAAGACAAAAGCATACAGAAAAGAATACCACGTTCGGTACCAAAAGGAAAGGAAAAGAACTATAAGTATATGATTTATACTGAAGAGATGGAAAATGAAGAAGATAAAGATATGGTTATGTTGCATTTAGTCAGAAGAAACAACAAAAGCTTTTACGATCTTGCTAAGATTTACAAATCTGACAGAAATTGGTTCTATCGCGAAAACTTACCGATTTCAATGACACCGAATGAAGATGTGAAACAAATAGTTCAAGATACGTTACCTCAAACACACTATGATATGAAAGGTTGTACAATTCTTACCTTCAAAGAAGACTTGCCATTGTTAAAGGAAAAAATAACAGAGTATTTTGACAACTTCAAACAAGTAGAGTAAATGCACTCTTTATTTTTACGCTTGACTTCAGATGGCTCAAGTAGCTCTATAAGGTAAATTGTCTTGTCAAATCCTTCTGGCATTCCGAGTCCTTCCTTCCTACAGGAAAAGTTCTTCCTTCCGACAGGAAAAGTTCTTCCTTCCGACAGGAAAAGTTTTTCCTTCCAACAGGAAAAGTTCTTCCTTCCGACAGGAAAAGTTCTTCCTTCCGACAGGAAAAGTTTTTCCTTCCAACAGGAAAAGTTTTTCCTTCCAACAGGAAAAGTTTTTCCTTCCTACAGGAAAAATTTTTCCTTCCTACAGGAAAAATTTTTCCAGTTGTCCGTCCGTAAACCATTCAAATTTTCGAAAATTGAGAACTTTTTGGTCGAACGACAGAAAAAGTTTTTCCTTCCAACAGGAAAAATTTTTCCTTCCAACAGGAAAAAAATTTCCTTCCGACAGGAAAAGTTCTTCCTTCCGACAGGAAAAGTTCTTCCTTCCGACAGGAAAAGTTCTTCCTTCCGACAGGAAAAGTTCTTCCTTCCGACAGGAAAAGTTTTTCCTTCCAACAGGACACAAACGGATGACTGACGTTCCTCTTCCTGAATGCCTTCCAAAGCCAGAAGAACCGAAAGCTGCAGAACCACAACAGACTTACTTACTAAGACTAAACACTTAGATTTTTCAAGCTTGACTTTTTACAATTTGAACTTTGTTTGCGTAGATATGAATTCTGAAAGAAGTATGAGGGTCTTGTATGACTTTATACTTCTCCCATAGTTCATGTCTGTCAAACTTACCTGCCATGGACTCTTTCATAAGTTCCATGAAATCGTCTTCGGACAATCCGGGGAAAAGTATTATGTCAGTAAGTATTCTCTTTACATCCTTACTTAAACTCTTGGCTGTCTGTACACATATTACGACTGAAATGTTAAAGTGCCTAAGTTTCTTAAGAATTCGACACATATCTTGTTCTCTGTTCTTTAACAAAGGATGAGAAGCAAAGTCATCTAAGATAAGAAGACATCTATGAGGGTAAGTCTTCCAATCGTACGATTGCAATTTCTTCGAAATGTATTCTATCTCTTTCTGTTTGTTTCTGAAGTGTTTCTTCTCTAATATTCTCTGCATTTCCTCATTTGGGTCTTTAAACTTAGAATTTATATACTCATTTATAGCATTATACTTCAAAACTCTTCTTTGGTACTTCTTTATCCAATCTAACAACTCAGTATCCTTTATACATACTAACTTAGACTTCTTTATAATATCTTTGAACGAATTGACGGTTTGGTCAAATTGACCAGAAGTACTACAAATAACAACTAACTCATAGAATGGGTTCTTCTCATCTAGTTCTTGTTGTTGTGCAGCCATTTTAAGATAAGTGAAAGTCTTACCCGACCCAGGTGGTGCAATTAGACCTGTTATACCATTCTGAGCAAATAAGAACTTGTCATGTATAGGCTTTATCTGAGCATTTTCCAACTTCCTCTTGTTCTTGTTTAAAACATTCTCAAATTTCTTGTCAATGTCAGCAAACTTTTTTTCTAACATATTTTTAGAAAAATTAAAATTTTTATCTTTTTGAAAATGTCTAGTGATTTCGCTATCTATATTCGAGACAAACTTTTTGACAGCAAAACATCTGTCGACCATAAAATCTTACATAGTGTAAACAAGAAAGGTGAATTTGTTCTAAAGTTCTGTTTCTGGGAATATGACAAGAACCATAAAACATTACAAAGAGCAGTCTTAAAATTTGTCAATGACAGACTTGTTGACAGAGATGACGCCGATTGGAAAGATGAAGTCCAACAAAAGTTCTTAGAATGCAAAGAAGACACATGCGCTGTTCTTGAAGATGAAATAGAAAACAGAATAGAAGAGCTATTAAAGGACAAAGAACTTTTACAGAAATATGGTTCGGAGAAATTTGACATAACTCCACCAGAGAAGAAGAAGAGAGAAAAGAGAGAAAAGAAAGAAAAGAAAGTAGAAGAAGAGAAGAAAGAACCTGAACCAGTTCCAGAGAAAAAGAAATTTGACATGTAAAAATAAAATTTTATTTTTAGAACATTTCTGGGTCAATGTCAATGTTCTCTTCCTCTTTAGGAGTAAACACTGGCTTAGACTCTAAAATCTTTTTACCCAATTTACCTTGAACTTCAACTATCTTAGACTCATAATATTCATAGTCGTCTGTCTTCTTTGGTTCATAAGGTATAACAAGTTTGTATGCTTTGCCTTCTTTAAGGTTTGAGAACCTTCTGTCAAAACTTTCTTTGACTGCTAACAAACCTTCTATGTCTAAGTCTTCAAATTTCGCACCATTTTTAGTCACAATAGCAAACTTAACTGGTTCGATGTTCCAAACTTTGCTGAATGAAGACTTTTCAAAATGGTAGAAGTAAACATTCAAATATGTGAATGGGTCTAGTTCTTCTTTAAGTCCTGACATGTACTTATTTACTGAAATATATTTCGTCATCTTTTCTATCGGATAAAAAAATATTTTTTTTAAATTTACTCATAAAAATTTTTCTTTGTATATACACCATTCTGAACATCTAAAAGACTTTTGACATTTGCCAAGAATGTACGTTTAGAAGCTGCCATATAACCATATTCTTGACAATATTGTTTATACGAATCGTACAATGACCTTTCATCTAATGACACAAAGTCAGTTTCATCTATAAACAGTTCATATACACTCTTGTTTGCTTCTAACAATGTTTGTCTCTCTTCTGTATGTGGAATTTGTCTTGGATTGAAGTTAGAAATATCTAATGTCATGAAATATGAGAACAAGTGGTTGTAAAAGTCAGATGTCAAAGTTTCTGCTAAGTCGTCAAAATATTCTGTATCTTGCATATGAGAATCTGACGTTCTGACAACTACATATCTTCTGTCAGAACTTTCTAACTTCATCGGAACAACATTGTTTGAAACCATAATGAAGTTTGCAACATTCTCACAAACTCTTTGGTCTTTATACTTTCTTTCAACAACTCCAACTTTGTCTGTTATAAGACTCTTCAAAGCATCTGAGTTCAAAACTTTTGTTGTATCTATACTTTGAAGTTCATTGCAAACTATAAGTTTCATATTTTCTATTGAGGAGTTAAATTTACCGCAGATGTTTTCTAAGTTTGTCATATTAGGGTTCGAATAGCCCTCTAACAGTTTGCATAAGATATCTGTAAAGAAAGTATTCTTACCAGTTCCTTGTTTTCCAATTATAATGAGAGCAGTTTCATTTTTAGCACTTGGATGTTGTAAGATGTTTGCAAACCAACATAAGATATACTCATAGACTCTTTCGTTTCCATTGCATATAATTTCTTTGACATGGTCTAACCAAGCTTCTATAATACTGTGTTTCCATTCTACTTGTTCGTATTTATATCCAGTGAAGATAGAATAGAAGTTTGGAGAAGGTGTATAAAACTTTATACCACGAACTGAAAAATCTTCTAACTTTGACAATAAGATATCCCAAGCATCTAACATCTTCATGCCAACTTGTACGACTTTTATTTTCTTAAGTTTCTGTCTACATTCTTGTTCTGAAACTATTGTCGCTTTAGGTTTGTTAAAGACTACATCCCATTCTTTCATAACATAACATTCTGGGGCAGAGTCAACATAAATGACTAAACGTTTCAAATTCTCGACTGCTTTGTTATAGTCTCGAAATGGACACATATTTCTGAATGCTTGGAAGTCATAAAAATCTGAAACATCTATTCTGTACATTTTTATAAAAATAAAAAAATATTTTTTTTATTTTGACTTTGTTGTTGCATTTGTTGCATTTGTTGTTCTTGAGCTATTTGTTGTTGAAGTTGTTCTTGTAATACAATACTTTCACCAGTTGCATCTTCCAATTCGAAACTTTCTGCGTCATTGACAAATAACATAGGACATAAAAGTTTTACAGGAACAAAGTTTGCGTCAACTAATGTCACGTTATACTTGCCAAAGTGTTTGAGTTCACTAAGGTTGAAAATTCTGCATTCGAATGAACAACTAGGCAAACCAGCAGAGAAAGTATTGTTTATACGCATAAGTATCTTTGGTCATAATAGTTTCTGTCGACATTCGAATAACACTTTGAACCTAAGTTTGAAACAATATATAAGATTGGTGTGCTTATATGTCAATGGAATAGACATTCCTTGTATGACACCTTTTCCTGTTATAGGAAACTGTGGTAGTAAAACCAGAAATAAGTTTTGTATTATAGCTCATATCGTTTATAGTAAACTCAGTCGGACATCCAAACATAATGAACCTGCTCTAGTTGCAGCACATGTTACATCCGTCTTAAAGTATTAAATAAGTCAACAAAACCTGTTGGTGGTATATCTGAGAAGTATCTTCAAAGGAGTATTTTTTACCATTCAAACAATAAAGTCTTCTGGTGTCAAAAGAGCAAAACAGGCTTTAGTCGTCATTGTGTTTAAGGTTAGTTTTACAATATCGTCCTTGAGGACTTTGTAAGTTTGTTGTTATAGAATTATATGACTCAGGGTTTTTTAGTCGTAATAGTATAAACCATTATGTCTTCTGCCATTTATATATATTTTAAAAGTTTTTCTGAAAGTGGAGAAGAACTTCATCTAAACTTTCACATGGCGTTTCTTGAAGTTCTCTGTCTAAGAAGTTCAAATATTTTGTAAAGACATAGAACTTTCCTTTGTCTACACGAACAAACAAACAGGGTCTTTCATATCGTTCAAAAGTGTGTAAAGTCCTTTACATGAAATAAAGTCTATATTATTTTTCTTCAAACATCTTTCAAGAAGTTTTGACATTTTTACTTAGCAAATAAATTTTAATGAAATGTTGTGATCGTCAAATATTTTATAACATCTGGGAAACTATATTTTAAGTTCAACGTTTCACCTCCTTTCATAACGTATATCTTGTCAATGACATTATAAACCCACAGCAAGCAATGTCGGGTTCTATTTCTTTGATGTTTATATCGTCTGCCTCTGTCAAAAGTTTCAATAGTTCTTTCAAAACTTCATGAGGTGCAATGACATATGAGTACTTTTACAGGGTGTGTTCGACCAAGTTTAACATTATACTCTAAAGCTTGACAAATTCTTCTCCTGAGTTTGAAGTTTGTCTTTAAGTTGCATGATAGTCGTTCGAATATCTGCAACAGAACTTAAGTCTCTGCTAACTTCAGGATATGTTGGTTGTTCTTTTACAGGAACTATTGTTATACCATCTTCGTCTTCGTATGGTTTCCCCATTTCAACATCTCTTTCTTGACATTGACAATAACACTTTGACTGTTTGTTTGAGTTGGTGAATTTAACTTCACATCTGCCACCGCCATTAAACCTTTTGAAAACACTTACGCTTCTATTTTCGGAAATGACATTTTACTTAGAATAAAAAGATGGACGTATTCGGATATCTCTTGAATTGAAGCAAAACAAGGTTTAACTCACAAACAATACAAATACATTGACAGAATAGTTCTTTACACAAACAATGGAAAATGTTATAGAATAGCAGTCTTTGCTGAACCTAAATATTTTCATAAAGCAAAGAAAGTTGGTATAACTGAAATGGTGAAAGTTTTGAAGCAGACAAAAATATAACTTCAAAACTGACCGATATTACTAAAGGAAAGTTTATAATACAATATTATGTCAAAACTGGCGTACTGTCAATATTTGACGGAGAGAAGTCAGTTCAAGAACAACTTACTGACCTGCTGCCAAAATCTGCTCGATGGAAGCTGTCGTTATGCCAATCTGAGGAGCCCCAGCAGGTTTTCATCGAACGAATCTTCAAAAGAGCATCTTCCGTGAAAAGTGCTATTGGTTTTGTAAACTTCTTTGCTTTCAATTCATCTGGACCGTCTCTGTCACCAGTATATTGTATTTGAACTGTACCAACAGTTGAAATACCACCCATAAAGTCTTCTGAGTCAGCAAATGGAATGCCAAGCCAAAGTTTGAACGGTCTCCATTTGTATATTGAGTTTTTTGACTTCCTGTATGAGTCCATACTTTCACATATGGCATAATAGAACTTTGCATTTCAGGGTTAATGGTTGTTGTGAAGTTGTTGTTAAAGTTCATAGCATCTAATGTCAAGTTGTATGACCTCATATCCTCAACTGTAGAATATTCTTCTCTTGGATAATATTTGCCATCTATGTTTATATATGATATTTAATACCAGGGTTGTAGAAACAAGAATAGTCATTTATAGTTCGTCTGAACAGTACAAACATAGTATCTGCATGTTTCATTGCAGTTGTTAAAGCAATATCTGTTCTTGCACCTGGGTCAGCACTTTGGTTTCCAACTTCACCTGCAAAGTCTTTGACAGATATTTGGTGTATAGGGAACATAAGTGGAACTGCAATATATTTGGCAGCTAAAGCATTTGAAATCTGGGTCCAACATATAGACTGCAAGTCTGCTTTCTATTCTCTTGCATTCAAATTTTTCGCATGTGAATTAACCGGGTCCCAAGCAGTTCCAGCAGCATTGAAATATAATAGTTTACTTCAGTGTTGA